ATCGTCCCTACTCTCAATATCCTTCTTCACTTAATGGAATGGAAAAGGATGTTGGAATTGTCGTCCGGTCTTATATCATTTGTATCAATCGTACAAAGCTTTTCTATCATTATTTTTGCAATTTTCTCCAACAAATCTCGTTCAAAGTTCATTTCTTTGCTCTGTTCAAATTCCAATTCAAGCATTTCTTCGATTACCGTAGGGCATAATATTGATAGTTGTAATTCAGTTAATGCAATTTCAGAATTATCCCACCAATATACATGAAGTCTAAAAGGATTTGGTATTTGTTGTCCCATATTATGACTGATAATCCAAGATAAGAATTCATTGTCATTATTTATTGGTGAAAAAATTGATAGAAAATCCTTGAAATATAATTCAGCAAATTCAGTCAATTGTGGTTACTTCAATATTGGAACTGCTGACATTATGTTTGCAGAAAATCTTTCTATGCAATCATCAATAATAGTAGCTTTTAGCTCTCCAGTATCATCTAAGTTTTCTTCCTTTTCTTCTAACATGGCTAAATCTTCTTCATATAATCTTTTGAATTTATCAATTTGGCCCATGATGTATGTTGAGAAAGGAAATGCTAAATAATGTTTTTTATTCTGTATAAAGTATCTATCTGGTCGTGGATCTAGCATGAATTCGATATTAACAATTTTAGGATCCATAAATACTTTTTCCCAAAATGTAAGTAAATTAACTATGGCTTCATCTACATGTAGATTTTGTTCCAAGTGATTATTTTTAAAAAGAGTCGAAAGACCTGATAATCTTTCCAGTGCACAAAGAAGTTTTGCAATTGGTTTTCTGACTAGATTACGAATATATGTTTGAAGAGCAATAGAAAATGATGAATATAAATGTAAGTCAGTTTTGTTTGTTGCGACTTGGAATTGCCAATTTTCGGGCGCATTTTCCTGAAGCCATTCAAGTGATCTAATCTTTAAACATTCAATTAATGTAGTATGACGTGGAATTTGTTTGTAGAGAAATCTATTTGAAAAGAAATTGCAAAAACATTGACACAATTATAATAAATTGCAAATTCAAGTCATTAAGCTTAAATAAATTACTAACTTTATATAATCAACGGATTTAGGAGATTGAAATCGCATACAAAGCAAGCACCAAAATAATTCTTGCTCAATAATCTCTTCAAATTTATATGTATTGTCAAGTATCTGAGACATATTTCCATCTAGATAATCCAAGAGGTGATGTTTTTGAGGTTCTAGGGTTTCAATTGTAACCAAATCCCAACCACACATAAAATTAAATGATGGCTTAGTATCATTTTTTCGTTGCACATGAAGAATTATGCAAACATGTTTTAATGGCTTAGTGTTTTCTGAGAATTTGTCTGCAGACAAATATTCATTTCTACATTGTTCAATAATGAACTTTGCAAGTTTAACACATCCAGAATTAACGATTGAGAGATCACATTGAAGGATTAATATTTCATCATCTGATTCTAACCAGAAATGTTTAATTCGATTTTGTAATTGGGCTTCGGATTTGAATGTTGAAATCTTGTCAACTTGATATGTCAAGATATCATTCAAGCAGAAAGATATGTCAGTATTGATGTTTGAGAACGTGTTAATTATTACTTTGAACCCTTGATTATTCATAATATCTTCAGTATTGTTTAATAATGACTGAATATATTTGAAAAGGTTTTCATGTTGTTGCTCGTGAAAATAGAAATTATACCAATTTTGGGTTTCTTCATGATTTGTAACTGATAGCATAGATTCCTTTGATCGCACAATGCCATCTGATGTTGCAATGCCTATTAATAATTCTTTACACTTGTTCAGAATTGTTTCATCATCATTATTAATTTCTTTGTTGTTGCAATTATAAATAACCAAACTTTGTAAGGTTTCTTCTTTATCAAACCCAATAAAAATATCATGCTCATTAAATTCGGATTTAGACGTGTCACCCTTCTTTATGTAATTTGAAATTTGCTGTGACCAATCAGCAAGTCTTTCTACTAATCTTTCCATATGATCATCTAAAGCATCGTTAATCGACATTTTTTGTTTTTCAAATCGATTTAGAAGCGGCGGATCTGCTAGGTTTACATTTTTCTCATCAAGTACCAAAATGCAACGAAAGTTTTCGTGCACGCAAACCATTGGATTCGAATAAGCACCCAATGCCACACGCGTATAATATTTTATATCACCTTCTTTGCCAACAGTTATATAATTTTGGTTCCACAAATCATAAAGACTTCCTATAAAAAAATAAATCGTAAATAAACATGGCTTATGGTTATAAATTTTAGACAAGATATCACAGGACAATTTTAAATACCATATATAATTTCAAGATCTGTCAATATAAGTGGTCTTCCAGCTTCAACACACATCTAGGATATATAAATATAAATTAACGCATATATGCTTAATATTTAGCATTTGAACGTTAAACATACCATAATACGACTCAATACTCCATACTGATAATCGTCATCACAATCGTCAGGAAATTGACTTCCATAAATTACTACAGGTTCTAGATCCCAAGATGTCACATTATCAACAGCATCAAGGTCGTTCCTTTCCGAAAGCTCCTCATTCCAATATCTCAATTTATATGTCAAAATATTGACAATGGAATCACTTTTACCGATTAACATTAGATGCCTAGCATTTTTATCTTTAAGGTTTGCTTTGATAAGGTCTTCAGCAGAAAATTGAATTTGATGGTGATTGGTCGCATTAAATGCTTTTAAAACATTGACAAAATGCTCATCATACAATTTGTCCATTTGGTTTGTTCCACCAAAATTCCTTGCTAGTGCCATTTTTATGGATTCTGGTGTAAGCTATTTAATTTAAATTTTAATAAAAGATAGATCTTGTAAAGAATGAAAAAGAAAAATAACTTTTTGATAAGTGTAATACCTCACTACAGCCAAGACTTTTTACCAACGAATAATAATCTCGAAGTCCATGAAAATTATCAATAGGCTGTTTTTTTTCATACTCTAAATAAGAGTTAGCCAATGCCTCGAGTTTTGCATCCTTAAAATTAAAAAAATTAAAACGTTTTGACCATGCTTTATTATTTTCAAATAATCTATCTGCTGTATCAATTAAATCTTGTTCTTCAAATTTAGGCCTAATTACACAAATATCTTTAGAATAAGATTAAAATATTACACATATGTTTAATTACTAACCTTTGCACCAACAACGCTCTACTTGATTTCGAATTATCTAATCTCCAATTACTTATACCAACAACTGAAACATTCGGATATTCGGCTGGATAACTTGGTTCAAGCAAAGAATGCAGAACTTTCAATGGATTATGTGGACTTGTCTCGGCCAATCCAACTAAAAGATTTACGGAACAAATAAATAAATAAAAATAATAATTCTATAAATTTAAATCACTAAATTAAATTTAATTTAAATGCCTTCATCAAGTAGAACTACGGTATTTAGAGGATATTCCTTAGAACTAGTCGTCTGATAATTTTGTGCTTTTTTGAAGACCTTAATAATACCGTCAGAAGTGGATGAAGACGAGCCTTGGTATGGAATAATATAAATCTGAAGTAATGATAATGCAAATAATTAATCAAATTTGAAAATGTAATTATAACTTTTTCATGTTTTCGTACTTGCGGCAATGTCTTAAAATACGGATCATCTGAATCAGCACCGCGAAGGTTCTGGCTAATTAAACGAATTGCTAATGATTTTGAAGCCCTGATTTTATGTTTAGATATATATTAACTTCTTCACGCAATATTGTTGCCATAAACAGTAATAGAATTTATAGAATTGTATAACTTACCCAGGTGCACCAATAATAAATACGGGAATTTTGGTGAATATACAAACAATCATTACGAGCACATTCTCAAGCAACGCATCGTTCTCCGCAGTTTGTGGTGGTTTTGTCATCCTAATGATATAATCTTTCTGTTCATCTTTAATAATCTTTATAAAAATCTCTTCTGTCATGTTTCGTGTTATTTGTTTTGTCTTGAATTCATTGAATATTTTGCATATTTTTTCGCGATATTGTGTACGTAATGTTTGATCAAATATTCTAACTTGATAACTAAGATATAGAGCTAGGATATAAGACCGGACGACAATTCCAACATCCTTTTCCATTCCATTAAGTGAAGAAGGATATTGAGAGTAGGGACGATTAGAACGTTGATTAGGACGTGGACGATTAATTAGTGTCTCGTGAAAATGTTTAACAAGAGTAATGGCACGTTTTACATCTCGTAAACTAACACTATGAGCACCTTCATGAGATCGAATAAATTCTTGTGAAGCAAATAACAATTCAGAGAATAATTTGGATGTTAATTTTTCTTTCTCCAAATATTTCTTAACCATAATATTAATATAGATTTTTTCATCTGATGGTTTTAATACACCATAATCCCAAACGTAATCCAGAATTTGGTCAGGAAGCGGATGAACTTGGTAAACTAAATTGCTATGCTCCTCATATCTTTTTGCCAAAAGACCTGCTTGTGTGTCACTTTTTAGTCGTAATCGATATGGATTGCAAGCTGAGAAGAGTCTGATATTGTGATGGATTTTTCGGCCAAAAATTTCCCTATGTGCTATAAGATTAGCCAGCAACCCTATATGGTTGCATGTATTTATCTCATCAAAAAATAACCATATTTGACGTTCTTGTGCAATTTTTTCAGCTTCATTCATGAAATCCAGGATGTCTTGTTCTTTTATACCAGCGTGTAAATTTAGAGCTTCGAACTCAACATTTACAACTATTGATAAAAACTGGATTAAGCTTGTCTGTATACATTATAATTAATATAAGTAACATATTTTTTAAATGAATGTTGGAAATGGAAATAAGTACAACAAAATAAATAAAATTGTTTAATTACCTTCCCACACCCAGCCTCTCCACAACAAACTACAGGAACATTAGCACGAGCTCGTAAAAGGATTAATGCCATTTTTAAAAGATTATCTGCAGAAAGCGCATATGGTGGATATTTACGTTCTTCAAGTGTATTGCGTGCTAAACATTCTAGTTTTTCCAAAATCTTATCTGGAGGCATTTCTTCATAATTATCTAGTATGAATTCCCTAGTTACTCTTCCGGCTGTCCCAACATTCTGACTACTTAGCAAGTTTTTAACATTTTGCGGTACCTTATTTCTGTCACGGTAAAGAGCGCAGATAGAGTCAGGTGTTTGCGATAAGAAAAATACTAGTAAATGATTTGAATCTTCCCAATGTTTAATAGTTCCTAAATTTGCATTGGGTGCATCAGATAAGTTTTTTAATCGATCTGCTTTAGAGTTCACAGAGCGTGTTGCAAAATCAGAAGAAACGTCCATTAGAGTTTCCTGTAAGGTTTTTCTGATATTTTGATCATTTACCATCTGGTTCAGTAATTCTACACGGAAAAATGCACTTGATGACATCCGTAATAATTGATCTGCAAGAACGTTAACAAATATCTCGAGAAAACGGTAAGACCTGACATCTTGAGTACGATTTCTAAAGAAATAATTCTGAAAAAGTTGCTGACAACGTTCTTGAGGCATTGGTTCATCTTCTTCCGTGAAATCAATATCTATTCCATTAATGATGTTTCGATCATATGCATCTAAATATCTTGCAACTATTTGAGTCGAGCTATTATGATTATAAGAAATAACAAGATCATTGATATTCCATGTCAAATGTTGCCTTGTTAAATATCCTGTGATTGGTAATGAATTTAACAAATATTGTTCCATGGTAGCGGCAACTTCTATAAATATGAATGTCGATGGAATACAAGCAAGGTTGATTCCATTTCTTACTATTCTAAGGGACAATAATTCAAATAAAAACATATTTACTTCGTAAGGATAGTCTATTAACATTATATTAAGATGCAAACTTTCAAATTCTCGGAATTCAGTTCCAGATAATCTTCGGACAAGTTCTCCAAATGTCATGCCATCACTAATCAAAAAGCTTTTTGGTATTAAATCATGTTCAAAACTACGTTCCTTAATCCATTCAGTCTTTCCTTGTCCAGATAAATCTGAAGAAACCGCAACTACATTCGGACATAATTCTTTATAGATGTTTCGCATAGACTCTGCGTCGAGTCCTTCAGTCACATGAACACATTCAGAAAATTGGTCAAGTATATGATGATGCATGCCTTTTTCACGACAGCATATCAAAGCTAAATTGAATTGGTTCTCTTGCTGACACAATGAACGTATATGCGTTACTAATTGATATTGCAAGTCGAACTCAAGATATTCTACGTTAGCGATACAGAACAAATACTTTTTATATCCATTTTTTGCTGCAAAGAAACATCGCTTTGTAAAAATAAAGAGCTCTTCTGCTCTAGTGGATGATTTACAAAT